CTGAAGCTGAAATTTGAGGTCTCGATTTAAAATATAAGCTAGCTAAAATCTATATATACTTGTTAATTATTAAGTCTAACTCTAAATACTAACTCAACTATAAAAAAAAAGCAGGGAAAAAACACCCAAAAAATTTTTAAAAAATTCATATCAAAATAGATCTGAATTTTAGCATCAGCTGTTTTCAGCATCAGCTGTAACAATTATTTTTGAATTTAGCCTAAAATATTATTATTTATATTATATTAATATATATAAAATTAGTTTAGATTCAAGAATAATTATCTATTACTTTATACATCTACTTTATAAATCACCAATATTCAAAAATATCAATCACTAACTCTATAAGTACTAGCCCAAAATTACTAGTAACAACCCAAAAATCTCAAACAAAATTTTAAATTAAAAACAAACTAAAAAAAATGATATCACTAAATATAATCAAAAATTATACAAAAATTTCTTTACTCTTTTTTTTACTAAATTTATTTACTTTTTCTTCAACTTATTAACTTTAACTTCATTATGTTGTGTTAACAAATACAACACTATTACAACTAATACTAAACCTTGAAATTTTATAGCAAACTATTAACTCACACATCTAACTTAGAGTTTCAACTCAATACAAAAAAAGAAAGCAAACAATAACTGATTTATATAAAATCAATTAAAACCAAATATAGTAATATACTATAATACTTAAATTTAAATAAAACAAAGCTTCAAACAATACTATTACTTTATTTTATTTTTATTTTTTTTTTAAGGTGAGGTTTTGCCTTTATCTTTATTAATAATTTGTATTGAGAATCTATTAGGGGTTTCTCTGGTCTATAAAACCAATAATTAAAATTTTTTACAAGAATAAGACTCAGATTATAGATATTTAACTATCTAATTTATCTATAACCTAAACCTACTAGAGTGGTTAAAAACTCATCTAGATTCTATAATATATAATATTATTAGTAGTGTACTAAATTTTATTTAGGTAGTTAGTCATGTTGAGACTTTTTTTGATGCTTTTCCAAGTGGTGGACAGTCATTGTCTATATGTTGTTGGTCAGACAGACCACAGCTACAGCTGTAGGTATATGGTATTCTTGGTCTGGAGTTGTTGGAGCTAGATATAGTATTTTGTCTTGTTTGGTTACTATTAATATTTGTAGGTATGTTGTGTTGTTGTTTTCAACTCGATAACTTGGCACAGTATAGTTTCCAAATTAGATTATATATATTCTGAGATAATTGCAAGAGTAGTAAAATAGTAGTATTTGTTGCTGTTTTATTAGAGTCTGTATATTCTCTGATAGTTTGTATGAGTGCAGTAGGTATAAGTCCTTGTATAGTTGTCCAAATATTTGTGTTATCCCTAGTATAATTGTTGAGTGATAAGCTAGAGTGATAAGTAAGTTTTTGATGTAGCTCTTGGTGTTGTGTGTTTGTTATATCAAGTTTTGAAGATTGCAAGAATTGCTGTATTGTGTTGGTAATAATTGTATTAAAATTAGTTGGATTTGGGCATACAAGCCAATACATATAGCTTTTATGTGAATTATATGAAATATAGTTAAGATCTGGATAATACTAGAAGTATAATGCATGTAGGTTTGGTAGTGTAGATAGAATGTTAAACATGAGTTTAATTTTGAAGGTTTTTTCTTGGCAGAGTTTAAAGTTAGTATAGAAGGATGATTTTTTGTAGTTATTGTTTAAATAAAGCCAAGTAGCATTTTAATCGATTTGTGTTGCTAGAGGAATAATATTTTCCATTCAGTGTTGGAAAGACTATATTGCTATAATGTGACTATTACAAATGTTCTTAATAGATTTACGAGTTGGTTGTTCAAACACGTAATTTATATGTTGTAGATAGTATGACGGGTTATAGATATTACTGTGTAAAAATTCAAGGTCAGTTGTGTGGTTTCGACTTTTAGCTAGACTGTCAGCAGCATCATTGAATGTGTTATTACTGTGTGCTGTGATTTTTTGGAGTTTAATAGTTAAATTGTAGGATTTGATAAGATTTAATAATGTGTGCCAAATTGGCTAGTAATTGTATGAATATTGTTTGTTTGGTCCAGGTGAGTGTTGGGTAAGTTTATCAAATTTGAATATTATAGACTGAGAGTCAGTATAGATGGTAATATTGCTGCTTCTTAGGCATGTGCAGATTGCTGAGAAAATTGCAAGTAGTTCAGCCTTGTAAGAGGAGGGCTATAGCTGGATTGTGGCCGAATAGTTGTGTAATATAGAGTTATTAGCTGTTTGAACCCAGCCAATACCCATTATACACTATTACTTTATTAAATCCTCAACATTATATACAATTTACAAAAACCTTCTTTATAAACCCAAAAAATACAATTAATATAAATAGATATTCATATCAAATCTTATTTCTAATAAATTACCATTAAATTAAATATCAAAGTTTAATAATCTACTCATTTTCATGTTTAATATCAGGCTATCAATTATATTCAAATCGCTTGAAATTACAACTCAAATGTAGACTTAACAAACTAACAGTATAAACATTAACAAAAAAATTTAATTTTGCTATCATGTTAAAAAAACAATAATAATAAAAAATAAACTCATTTAAATCATCTGATCAAATAAATCTAATTAGCCAAATATGCAAAAATACCATTCTGTTCTTGATAAGCAGAGATCTAAAATACTATACTACATATTATAACAAAGTATATAAATATAAGATTAATATTCTTTTCAAAATCCTATTAAGAATAGTATTCAAATTGATTTTTTTCTACCTATCAAGGTCGGTACTGCTGATCCATCAAGAGTAGTATTTTTGCACCAAATACAAAAAAAAAAAAACTCTGGGCAAGCGCATATCTTGTTCTATTACACAACAGATCACGTATATTACAATGTCAATTTACTGTGGCAGATTAAAATGAAATTCAGATTAAAATGAAATAATAATATAAAATCTCGAAAAATATTTTTTTGGTGTGTATTTTTTAGGGTTAGGGATTAGAATTAGGAGTTAGGATTAAAGTAAAATATATTAAACAAGTATAAGTGGGTTTTAGAAGGTTAGTAGGTTGAATAGAAAATGTAGATTTCATTTTAAATTATGATCTACGACATTTACTGATAGCATCTTACACAACAGATCACATGTATCAGTGTTGGCACGGGACAGCTTTGGACGAATTGTGGACAATTGTGGACAATTTTGAATAAAAAAACAAATCTAAATTACTCAAAATTTTATTAAGATAGCCTATTTTAATCTTCTAAGCAAAAATATCCAGAACTTTAAAAAATATATAACCATATCTTTTTTAAACTAACCTATTAAATTTTTAAGCCTAAATATTCTTTGGACAATTGTGGACACTATGGACGTTTGGACATGGACATGGGTAAAAAAAAGTCTTGGACATAGTAGACGTGACAACACTGATGTATTACAACATCAGATCTGTAGTTCCGCCTTGTTTACATTAATTTTGATTGGATCCAAAATGATCTATTACACATGACCCGAACATTTCTTTGCCAGTGTTGTCACGGGACAGTTGTAGACAGTAAATTTGACAATTCAATTAAATAAATCATAATTACTCAAAATTTTATTAACCTATAATATTTCTTAAGTAAAATACGTGTATGTTCAGCACCTAAAAAAATATATAATTATATATATTTTAAACCAATTTATTAATTATTAAACCTTAAACATGTTTTGGACACTTTTGAACACTTGGACACTTGAACGTTGGACAGTACCTTTGGACAGTCAAAATGTACATCACTGCGGCTAGGGTACTCTTTACATTACAGTTTCATAAATTACAATGTGGGTCTTTGCCTTGAAAATCACCTTCCGACATTTCCAATCGGGTTAATTCGGACAAAAATAAACCCGAGTACCGGTACATGTTTCATATGTTAATCATCTTTTACATTGATTAAATAGTTATTCGATAAACTATTGAATTGAATCAATAAGGTTAAAAGATGATTAACATATGAACATGAACCGGTATTCGGGTTTATTTTTGTCGATCGGAAATGTCCGAAGGTGATTTTCAAGGCAAAGATCCCATGTAATTTCATGCAACGTAAAAATTTAATTTATCGTTATGTAATGACAACCAGATAAACTTTGCTAATTTAGATGGTAATTGAAATTCTTCTAATGTAAGTTCTGGACAGGGATGTCATGGGACAGCCTTTGTACAAAGTTTGAATATTTTGTACATTTTTTTAAATTACTCAAAATTTTATTAAGATAACCTATTTTAATCTTTAAGTAAAAAATGTTCAAAATTAAACAAAACTATATAATTGTTTTTTTAAAATAGATTACTTAATTATTGCGGCGAATTAAAATGAAATCAGGTTAAAATAAATTTTGTATGTATATTGTAAAATAGACAAGCTACCGAAAATACAAAATCTTGGCCAGCTTTATAAGTAGAATTTATAGTAAACAAGTATACTGTAAGTGGGTTTTAAATGGCTAACTAGAAACTCCAAATTTCATTTTAATTCCGATTTCATTATGATCCGCGACAATAAATATTTGTAGACACAGGGATATCCATTAAATAACGAGAAAAGTGTTTAGTATGCCATATGTCATTGTCGTAATATAATTAAAAAAAATATATAGTCAACTCTATATAACGAACCGATCAGTCTTATAATAAATTACTATATTTCTTTACTATACCGAATCCTATAAATTTTTTTAAAAAAAGTTTGTTATGAAGTAAGTTTGTTATTACGAGTCGACTGTAGATTTTTTCTAGAATATTTTTAATCAATTACACTAAGATTATCAAGAGACAAAATACATCAAAGATATTGTCTAAAATTTTCTTAAATATATTTATTTGAAAAACCAAAAATGTAAAAATAATACACGTTTATATAATTAAATAAATAAATATATATTTTTTTGTTTTCTAAACACGTTTAAAGTTCTTGTAAATTCCAAAAATGTTTTAATCAGATGCACTTTCATAGTTCGTTTCTTTTGTGGGTTCAGTTTCTGTTTTTAACTGTCTCCTAAGTTCTAAATTTTCTTGAACTAGTCGTCGTCTACTCGCTCCTTCAGACCCTTTCCATTTAGCAAGTTTACTTCTTTCTTTTCTATCTGAGAGTTTCATAGCAGCTTCTATACAATCTCTAGTACTAGCTTCAGGAATTGTCTCTAATATCCAGTCAACTGTAGCAGATTGTTTTTCTCTAGCAGCCAATACTAATAGATTATCACCATTTTCATCTTTCACATCACCTCTTGCTCC